CCTCCCACTCGCCCTAAAACCCGCGGGAAGTGGCCTCGGGTTAGGATGGACAAAGAAGAGAGGCGCGCGCCCCAAAAGGCCGCGCCGCGCGCCCCGCAGGCGCCTCCGCTCTTCTCGGGAAAAGGTCGGAGCCGAGCCCGTCGGGGCGGACGGTCCCCGCCGCCTCCTGCTCTGCGCCCTGCGGGCCGGGGGCCGGGCCACGAGGGGGGCTCAAGAGCATCTCTACAGGGCAGCTTTGCGACTCGGGGTCCCCCCGCCAGAGCACAGGCCGCTCCCCAAATCCAGCGGCTTCGGGGGACGAGACACGCCCCGCGGCTGGCGGGAGGCGNCTCCCCGCCCCCCGAACCCCGACTGACAGCCGTACGTTGAAATGCGTTAAAAATTAGCCTTAGGAAGACCGCGTCTCACGGTGGTTTGTTTACTTAAAAAGGCATTTTACGAGAGAAAAAGTTATCCCATCGAATTGTAAAACCTTTGGTTAAAATGAAACATTCCTCTCCGGCAAGAACAGACCAGAGCGTTGTTTACAAAAAGCCGGCGCAGCCGGGCGGTGGGTGCAGCGCCGGCAGGTCTCCGTTTCCAAACAGCCGCGCTGAGCGCGGCCCAGGCCACAGGCTCGCCCGCGGGCTCTGCAAACACCGCCGCCTAATTCTAGGACATTTTCCTCGTCACCCCGACCCGGAGGAAACCCCACACCCACGCCAGCCCCCCTCACCTGAACGCTGTCCCTGTACCTGGGTGACACTGTCCACGCCTGTGGCTTCAGCTGGCGGCTCAAGCTCTCGGCCCCGCTCAGGCGGCTTCCTCCCCCCACGCTGCCCCGGGCCTGCCTGGGACCCCTTCCTGACCCATGCAGGGGCATGGCTGCCTGCCGCCTGGGCTGGTCACTGGGCCTCCTGGGACTTGGACACCTGTTCTGGGGCAGCCCCCCATGAGGACGGGTGTGGGGCACCCCAGCTCCAGCCACCGTGGCCCTGGATATGCAGATGAAGAAGCCTCTGGGACAGTCAGCCCAGCTGCCATCTGAGGCCCGTGACTAGTGACTCCAAGTGACAACAGCCCCACTGAGCCCTGAGAGAGTAAATTGCCCTTTCAGGCCACTGAGTTTTGGGGTGCGTTGTGAGGCCAGCCCGACAACTGAAATGCTATGCTAATCCGAACCCATCAAACCCCCTTTTCCCCCAGGGCCCACGTCGCTCAACACAGGGCCTGCCCCTCCCCTGCCTCTCGCTCCCTCCCCGCCACCGGCCTTGATTCGGCAGCTCCAGCCTCTCAGCCTGTCCTACCCATGCCCACACTTTCTGAAACACTCTTGGGTCTTGTTCTTGTGCCTAAAAGGCTCATGACCCCAGTAGTTAGGATGAGGCTTGCCCCCTCTCCAGGGCCTGACCCCTCCCATGCGCCCCAACAGGTGGCTGTGCCCCGCCTTCAGCCTTCAACTCTCTCCTTCCTCCCATCACCTGCAGCACCCCCTCCCCACTCCTCCTTAAAATACCCTGGATCATCCAGGCCCTCCCTCTGGGCATCCCCAACAGGTCCCCAAAGGCACCCACCACACTCTCTGTGACCTGTCTGTTGACGGGTCCATTTCCCAAACTAGACCCAGAGCTCCTAGGTGAGAGGGTGGCAGGCTGTTCCTCCACAGAGCCCAGCACTGTGCCTGGCACGTAGCCAGTTACAAATAAGTCCCTAGATGTTTATTATGAACACACTGTGCAGAAATACACATGAGAGATCAGAGGTCCAAGAGAGTAAACATCATGTCTACCCTGAGCTTGGCACCTGGCCCCACCCCACCAGCCCCACGGCAGGCCGGTAAGGGCCCAGGTGGGGGGACATTGCTCCAGGTGGGGAGGGGCCCACGTGATTGGGCAGGTGGACGGTGTGGCTTCCTGGGCTGGTCCTGAGTTGGAGGCAGGGGAAAACCGAGGAGGCCTCGGTCACTGGCCTGCTGCTGGCCCTCCTGGCAGTTGCTGTGCTTGGCTCCCGGGACTTTGTGTGCACCAGAGGTCTAAGGTCATGCATGACTGGACGTTGTCCACTGGACATCGTATCTTTTGGGCCAAAGGATAAAAGGCACCCTCACACGTTGGAAGGCGGGGACAGGACAAGAAAGGAGGGTTGAGAGGTCCCCCAGTTATTCTGCGGACAACTTGGCCCTGTGTGACTCTCACTTCTACGCAGCCCAGCAGGTGGACCCAAGATGAGATAAAAGGTAGGGCCGCTGTTACTGGAGCAATTGTCAGCTACCAGGGGCGGTTCTTCTGCAGGGAGCATCCGACCTCACACCTTCCCCCGCATGGTTTGTTTCTGTGTTTAAGTCTGCAGGAGGCTGCTGCCGGCAGGGACCAGTGCCCGGCCAGGGGTGCACCTCAGCAGTGACACCTTTATCACGGTGCCCGAGGCTAAGCCAGCCTTCCTGTGCCCTGACAGGAGGGGTTCATGCTCAAAACATGGTAGCTGTGGTTTAGGGATCTGTACTGGGCATCTTAGCGTTTATTTGGCAAATTGCAATACTGTAGAATCACACCTGACATTGATGTTTGGAAGGAGAACGGTGGAAAGATGTCTGACCTGAGAGATTTATATAAGCAAACAGAAAGAGGCTCCGTACACGAGAGAGTACTTCTAATAGCCAGGGGCTGTGACCGGGTCCTTCCTCATGTTCAGAAGCAACCGTGCCTCCAGGGCCCCTTGAGAGGTGCTTGTGACTTTTTTTATTGTGACAAAAATATACACAACATAAAAGTTACCATCTTAACCACTTTTTAAAAAAATATATATGTTTTTATTGGTTTCAGAGAGAGGAAGGGAGAGGGGGAGAGAGANTATATATATGTTTTTATTTGTTTCAGAGAGAGGAAGGGAGAGGGGGAGAGAGAGAAACATCAATGATGAGAGTCATTGATCGGCTGCCTCCTGCTCGCCCCCGACTGGGGATCGAGCCCCCACCCCGGGCATGTGCCCCAACCGGGAATCGACCACGATCTCCTGGGCCCTAGGTCAATGCTCAGCCGCTGAGCTGCAGAGGCCAGGCCTTGCCATCTTAACCACTTTTAAGGCACAGCCCGGGGGCATTAGGCACATTCACACTCTTGTGCAGCCACACGGCCCCCATCTTCTCCAGAACTTTGTCATCTTCCCAAACTGAACTTCCGTCCCCATGAAACACTAACCCCCCTTCCCCGGCCCCAGCTCCTGCTGACCCCCAGCTCTGTGTCCCTGTGTATGTGGCCACTCTTACAGGACTTGTCCTTCTGTGACTGGCTCGTTTCCCTCAGCATGACGTCCCCAGGTTCCACGTCATAGCATGTCAGAATTTCCCTCCCTTTTAGGGTGAATAATGCTGCATTGTGGGGATGGTATGTGTTTTGCTTATCTAGTCATCCGGCCGATACTTGGCTCGCTTACCTCCCCCCGGCTGTGGCGATCGGCGCGGCTGTGGCTCAGTGGGCTGTGGCCATGTGAAAGTGGCACTCCTGCGTGGGCACAGTGTGGGCCTGGCTGCGAGGGCTGGGGTTGGCCAGGCACATCTAATTGGGCCTGGAAACGTCTCTAGAGCCTGTGAAAAGGTTCCAGACCGGAAAAAAAAAATC